GTACTAAGTGCCGGAGGGCTGGAGGTTGGGTGGAGGTAACACTCCAGTGTCTGGAGGGCCAGAGGTTGGGCGGAGGTAACACTCAAGTGTCCGGAGGGCCGGAGGTTGGGCGGAGGTAACACTCAAGTGTCGGAGGTTTCTTTTGTGCCCACAACATTTGGGGCAGAGGTTTAGGTTAGGTTTTCTTTTGTGCGCCCCAACATTTGGGGCAGAGGGAGGTTTAGGTTAGGTATTTAGGTTAGAGGTTGAGGTTTAGGTTAGGTTTTCTTTTGTGGCCCACAACAGTCAGGGCGGAGGTTAAGGTTTAGGTTAGGTTTGCTTTTGTGCCACACAAAACTTGGGGCGGAGGTTTAGGTTTTCTTTTCTGCGTCACAACACTTGGGACTTGGGGATTGAGGGGCTTAGGGCAGAGGTAGGTTTTCTTTTGCACCCCACAACACTTACACTTGGGGCGGAGGTAAATGGGCGGAAGTAGGTTTTCTTTTGCGCAGGTTAGTGGGTGGAAGTAGGTTTTCTTTTGCACGGTACAACACTTGGTACTTGGTACTTGGGGCTTGGGGCTTAGGGGAGGTAGGTTTTCTTTTGCTCCCACAACACTTGGGGCGGAGGTAAATGGGCGGAAGTAGGTTTTCTTTTGCGCAGGTAAGTGGGCGGAAGTAGGTTTTCTTTTGCACGGTACAACACTTGGTGGGCGGAGGTAGGTGGAGGGCGGAGGTTTTTTTTTGGGCGGCAAAAGGGTAGAGGTTTTTTTTTTTTACGGGACCCGCGGAGGTTTTTTTTTTTTTACGCGAACCAAGTATGCGCAGGGGAGGCTTTTTTAAGCAGCATAATACTTGGGGCCGAAAGTTTGGGCCATAAGTTTGAGAGAGCATATATTAAAGTTCGAAATTCGAAATTCGAGAGAGCATGTTAAAGTTCGAGAGAGCATGTTAAAATTCGAGAGAACATCTTTACAGGAAGAAGAGAGATAACACAAGATTATGGAAAGAGAAGAAGAGATATAACACAAAATATTATGGAAATAGAAGAAGAGATATAACACAAGATATTATGGAAATAGAAGAAGAGATATAACACGTAAAGCGCCAAAACCTTACCTCCACGAATCCAAAGCTCAGTAGCTACATTTTCACTATTTGAACAAAAGATTAAGAGAGTATCCAAAACCCAATAGCTACATCTTCACTATTTGAATAAAAGATTAAGAGAGTATATATTAAAGTTCGAAATTCGGGAGAGCATGTTAAAGTTCGAGAGAGCATCAACATAAGAAGAAGAGAAGAGAGAGCATCAATACAAGAAGAAGAAAAATAACATAAGATTATAGGAAGAGAAGAAGAGATATAACACAAGATTTACGTGGTTCAGGCTAAAACCTTACGTCCAATAGCTACATCTTCACTATTTGAATAAAAGATTATACAAATACGTGCTTCTATATACATACGACAATCGCAATGAATCTTGGACATAGAAAAAAATAATACATCTTCACTATATGAATGAAAGATTATACAAATACGTGCCTCTATATACGTACGACAATCACGATGAATCTTGGAGACAGAAAAAAATAATAAAAGATTATCTCCATGAATCTTGGAGATAGAAAAAAATAATAAAAGATTATACTTGGAGATAGAAGAAAATATAAAAGATTATACAAATACGTGCCTCTATATATAAAGGACAATCACAATGAATCTTGGAGATAGAAGAAAATAATATAATGCTTATTCCCAATAACCAACTTGATCAAGCAATTTGACTTTGTTTATCTTCAACGACATCTAAAAAACTTATGATCTAGATGCCCGTATCTATCTTCAACAATATCTAAAAACTTCCACATGCCCGTATTTTGTCCAATTGCAGTGAAATCTTTGTCAAATCCCTAGACTATAATGGAGGTAGAGAACCTACAAAACGAGATCTCTGTCATATTAATTAGGTATTTGTCATTAGTCTATAATTTATTTTTATTTTTTTTTTGATTTAGCGGGCCGATGAGGTAGACCATGACCAGCCCAATGCCACACCCTAGGTATAGATATTAGATAGTAAGACGCACCTCTATCATCCTAGTTTGGCCAAAACTTTTCTTAAATTTGGATAATTTCACCGGATCTGGTTTCTCAAACAAGGGATGGGCCTGATATTTTATTCATTGTTGGGGTCGTACAAACGAAAACTACCCTAACTACCACAAACGCGCTTCCAATAAAACTCAGCGAAGTTCACCGATATGTTCGTAAACGAACTAGGGTATTTTCGTCCTTTTCTCACAACCGAAACTCTATAAAATGCCTCCTATTTTTCAGAACCCGAATCCCACTCCACACGGGGAAAAAGCTTCTTCGTCTTCCACTTTCTCTCTCTTCGTTCCCTCTTCGTTCC